GCCAGACAAACACAAACGGACTTTTCCCTTTCACAGAGGCTGGCCTTTACCAGCAGCCTCCCGCGGGTGAAGCAGCCATCGAAACTGATTCAGGCCCTGGGTTATGTTCTACACGCCTGGTGAGATGTTGAGTGATTTTTAATTGTCTTCATATTTTTAGATATTTTCTAAGCTTTTATCAAAGAACATGAGTTTTATAACTAGAAAAAAAGTAATATAAAGAAATCGTGATTAGTGAAATGAAATGAAGAAAATCTAACTTTTCACAGCAGCAGGATCTTTCCCTAGGAAGAAGCCCACTTTAGTCGTGTGACTGCTTTTGTACTTAGGGGGTGGGGTGGCTGGCCACGGGCTTGCTCAGGTAGCCCTGGAGGGCTGAACTGCAGCTGCCACTCCCGGGGCTTGATATGGCTCTTCCTGTCTTCCTGGAGAAAGTTTATTGCCCTCCCGATTCTACCTTCCATGTCAGGGGATTCTTAATTAGTATAGATCTCAGCAGACACCTAGGGGAAGGTCAAAAGTCAAACCAAAAGAATTTGATTACGTATAAAAACAAAATCTGGAGAAGGCCTGTGGAAATGAATGTTTTTGAGACAGAGTCTTGCTCTGTCTCCCAGGCTGGAGTGCAATGGCGCAATCCTGGCTCACTGTAACCTCCACCTCCCGGGTTCAAGCGATTCTTGTGCCTCAGCCCCTGGAGTAACTGGGACCACAAACGTGTGCCACCATGCCTGGCTAATTTTTGTATTTTTAGTAGAGACAGGGTTTCACCATGTTGCCCAGGTTGGTCTCAAACTCCTGACCTCAAGTGATCTGCCCACCTCGACCTCCCAAAGTGCTGGAATTACAGGCATGAGCCACCAAGCCCGGTCCAGATTTTTAAAAAATTAAAATGAAATTTTAAAAAGATAAAATTAAGTGTACAATTCGGTAGTATTTAGTACAGAACATTCAAAATGTCATGTAATCAACACCTCTAGTTCCAAAATTTTTATTCGCCCAAAAGAAAACCCGTACCTTTTGGCTGTCAGTCCCCATCCCTCCCTCTCATGGTACTATGCAATTTGCTATCTCCGTGGATTTATCTATTCTAGATATTTCATATAAACAGAATCATACAATATGTGGTTTCTTTCACTCAGCATAATATTTTTGAGGTTCACCCATTTGTAGTATGTGTCAGTACTTCATTGCTTTTTCATGGCTGAATAATATTCTATTACATATATTTATCATGTTTTGTTTATCCACTTACCTGTTGATAAACATTTGGGTTATCTCCACCTTTTGGCTGTTATGAATAGTGTTGCTATGAATATTCATGTACAAGTACCTATTTAAGTACTTACTTTCGAGTCCTTTGAGTACAGAACTAGGAGTGGAATTGCTGGGACTTATCATAATCATATGTTTAATTTGTTGAGGAATCATTAAACAGAGGCTGCATCATTTTTCCCTCTCATCGTCAATGTGTGAGGCTTTCAGTCTCTCTCTATCCTCACCAACACTTAGAATTTTCCATTAAAAAGAAATCATAGCCATCTTAGTAGATGTGAAGTGGTTTGGGGAATGGATTTCGAGGATGATCAAGGAAAGTAGAACATAATTTTAGACGGGTCTGAGTCAGGCCATAAGGTAAGAGTGGCTGGGTGTGGTTTTAGTGGGGCTCTGGAAAACCAGCCCTCTAAACAGCAGCAGCAATGCCCCTGCATAGCCCTGATTTGCAGCATTTGCTGATTTCCACGGTGCAAATCCTCCCCGTGTCCAATTTCAAGCTACCCATGGTTTAACAACCACAGCTCACCACATCTCTTAAATGTTGACAACTGGCTCTCATAAGCTGGTATATGTGGCTACAACTCACCACCATTCATTCTAAGGGCTGTGCCAAGCTGATGAAGAGGAGCTGCTGCAATGGAATGAACCACCAGGTCAACAAAAGTCAGTCCCATGCTCGAGAGTAAGCACACAATGGAGTTTCCGAACCGAGCAGCCGGGCACAGACTCAGCCGCAGTGACCCTCGGGTGCTGATGCCCAGTGAGGGCTCGTCTGAGCGGTGGTCCATTGTGTTTGTGTTACTGGAGAATGCCCATCAGCACAGGACCCCGGGCATGCACAGTGAGTGAGGGCGCAAGTGTAACTGGTATTTAGGAACGTGTTTTCCAGGTTTTCAGGTGCAGTTTTTCATGCCACAGAGAGGCCACGTTAGAAGACGCCATACCCATATTCCTGCACGTTTAAATCTTAGTTTAAGTGGCTTTTTCTCTGTAATAACCTACAAAATACAAACTCAAACACATTTCGATTTAAAATTTTTAAATTTAACCCTCAACAAGATTAGGTAACCTTGAAATCAGAGTGGATCACAGAGGGTATTTTCAAGCAGAGAATACTGCCCCAGGCACCATTACGAACAGAGAAAAAAGTAATTTGTCATCATACCAGCACTACTGTGGCTTGTTGCTGAAGATTAAATTATCTAGGTAATTACTGTAATCAGCTCTTTAACAGAGTCTCAAAGAGCATTATATCGTAACAGATCCTGAGATATTTCCTTTATGCTTACCTGTGATGATTCTGCAAAACCTCTTTTCTAACCCTGAGAAATTCTTCAGTATTTTGTTCAACATGCTCAATTTTGCATCTCAAAGCTCGGTACTTGGCCAGGGATGGTGGGTTGGGTTTGGACAAATTCGTTTCACAGACATTAACCATGTCTCTTATTAGCTGTAGGTGGAAATAATAGACAGATGTCAGAATCATCACATATCAAAATTAATATTTATATTACATTAACACTTTCTCAAAAAGATAGGAAAAGTGGGTCTTGCTCTCACCCACGCTGGAGTGTAGTGGCATGACCATAGCTCACTGCAGCCTCAACCTCCTGAGTTCAAGCGCTCCTCCTACCTTAGCCTCCAGAACTGTATTTGAATGGGCACTATACATTCCCTCTTAGCAACACTGATGATTTTTTTTTTGTTTTTTTTTTTTTAAAGATGGAGTTTTGCTCTTGTTGCCTAGGCTGGAGTGCAGTGGCACGATCTTGACTCACTGCAACCTCTGCCTCCTGGGTTCAAGCAATTCTCCTGCCTCAGCCTCCTGAGTAACTGGGATTACAGGTGCATGCCACCTGGCCCAGCTAATTTTTTGTATTTTTAATAGAGATGGGGTTTCACCATGTTGGCCAGGCTGGTCTCGAACTCCTGACTGGTGATCCATCTGCCTTGGCCTCCCAAAGTGCTGGGCTTACAGGCGTGAGCCACCACGACCAGCCGACTGAGATTCTTTATGTTTGATATTAGGTAAATCATAGATTTTTAAATTTGGAAGGGTCTTATATTTTCTCATTGACCAGTTCTTTCCGTATTTTCCATTACTGATTCCTCTGGGAATCCGTTGAAAGTGATTATTTCCCAAACATGCAAAATTTCATATCTATAAACTCCTCTGAAGTCTAGGACACGAATCTCTGATCTTGGCCCAATCCCTGCATGCCCAGATGAGGCAATGCGGACCAAGAGAGTGACTTCGGCCTTGTCTAGGGCAGGGTTGGCTGCTGTGGCTGCCTTCCTCTACTCACTGAGCCTGCTTTCTCTCCTGGCAGCTCAGAGGAGGTGGCCCATTTCTGAGCAGCCACAGTGGCTTCAATCTCCTCACCAGTGACTGGCTTGAGATTGCGCACACGACTCCATTCTGACCAGAGAACTGTAAGTCTGCCAGGGGCTTCCTCTACGTGACACAAAAAGAACTGTTACAGATGGGATACTACGAACTACTGCAGCCATATGCGGATCATGAGGGAGCTGGGCTGAGAGCAGAGCCGTCACTCTACAGGAAGTACAGAGGGATGGAAGGAGGCTGAGACCCTGATGATGACACTGACACACTGAGTCTCGGGGTGACCTGGGCCAGGAGGCAGCCCACAGCTGGACTTCTAATTGTCCGAGGTCGTAAATGTCCTCATTGTTTCAGTCAGTTGCAGTTTCCCATTTCTTCTGCGGAGAGGATCCGAACTCATACCAAGGTCTGAAAAGTTAGTTTACAAGATAGCAATTCTAAACCTATTTCTGCATTTATGTCACTGTGCCAACATATTCACATTTGAAAATATGGTTTTTAAGTAACTTTCATAAGGATCCAGGGCTTTCTAAAATGGTTCAACAATTTATTTTCTAGCACAACTCTGGAGACAATTTCATGATTTTTAAAGACCCCCACCCTCAACATATTTTATAATAAATTGAATTCTATATTTCAGAGGTTTACCTGGCAGAGGTCTGCTTTCTTAGCCAACAGTCCCAGGTTCACTTCTTTGGGCGTTGTGCCTTTGTGAGGTATCAGTCTGTAAAACTCTGTCATCATCTTTTGCAATTGCTCTGCCGTTTCTCCATTTTTCAGTGCTGCCTTTACTAGAAGGAGAATCCCCTCTGCCTTGCTCACCTTTCAAAAGAAGATCATACGTGCTTAATGAAATGAAATTTTCATACAGAAATTAAGGAGCACGTACAAAACTATATGAATAATTGTTGGACATGTCAAGACTCTCCATTTTGTACTGGACAGCCATCACAAGCAAATGCTCATCTTTATTGGAGACGCCTCTAGTTGTGGTAATGATGCCATGAGGATTATTGCAAAACTGGGCTCGGTTTTACTAGAGAAAAGAACCAGAGTCCTATATTTCTATACATATGTGAACACATCTACATACATATACACAGAGAGAGAAACACTAACGCAACTGTGATAGACTAGCTTTTCACATGAGACATTTAGAAAGCTGTCAGAATCAGACCAGGGATAAAAACCTCCTGAACGTGTTTCTAATTACACAAGTACTTCATGGGCTTTACCCCAGTTAGCCATTTTCTCCTTGAGATAAATTAGTTTAATTCCACAGAGGAAAACTGACCGTATTATTTCAATACAACAATGCAGTTGCACAAGTTGTACCATTGGGAATATCTTATTTTGTCTGCTCTTTCCACAGCAATTATGCTTAATGAAGAAGGGAAGAACATTTTCCGGTGGTCTGGAGGCATGCCTGCCTTTCCTAAGATGCTCAGAAGGTGCGAGACTGTGGAGTCACTAGGAAATGGGTTGGGGTCTGGGCATCTGACTGGGGACCAAGACCACCCATATCCCTTCAGCTTCCTGCAAACCTCTTGGCACAGAGGATCAGGCCTCCTAATTGGCCAGCACCAGAAGCCTGCCTTCGATCAGCTCTTGAGGCTGACATTTTACAGACAGCGATGTCTAGGTTTCTGAGGTTTTCTCCTTAGTGCTGTTAGTGGTCCCTTTCATCAGGGTACAAGGAAAGAACATTTAGGAATGAATGCCAGAGCAGTCAGACCAGCATGCAAACACACGTGTTATTGCTGAAACCAATCAACCAGGAGGCAGATTTCTCACATTCTGTTTCAGCGACACACCGACTTACATCGTTGAGGCTAATCCTGTTCACTGGCTTGAGAAGCGTGTGTTCCAGGTGGCCCAGCGCCTCTGCCCAAATCATCTCTACTAAATCGCTCACCTCTTGGCTCAGAGTGCTTGAATTCATGACTTCCTCCAAAAGCAACTGCAACAAGAAAATAGAAACGCCACCAAAAAGTCATCATGTGTGAGTTTGTGTAGAACTCACATGGGCCAATGGACAGAGGTGTGAGGAGACATAATTAATTAGAGCCCAGGAGAGTCATCCCCAGCCAGGTAACTAAATCCTCTCTCTACTGGATCCACCCTCTGTCTCCCTCCATTCTCTCTTCTCTGATTCCTTCCTACCCTCTTTTCTTCCTGTTCTATTTTTTCCTTCACCCTGTAAGCTCTAGGCCTGTCAGTGGTATTCAACACATGCAGTCGGGGTTAAGGACCCTTGACTCATGGCCTAGGTTGTAAAGAAGTCTCGCAAAAGCTGGGAGCGTCTGCTGCTAAAATAGGCAATAAGTCTCGTGGCTTGTCCTAAAACGCATTCGCCACTCAACTTCCATCCCTTTCTATGAGATCACATTTCCTTTTCTGAACTCCTCCTCTTCCCTCCTGCCAGTTATTTATTTATTTGAGACAGGGTCGTCTTGTATCGCCCAGGTTGGGGTGCAGTGGCATGCTCATAGCTCGTCGATGAGGTCAGGAATCGAGACTATCCGCTAACATGGGTGAAACCCCGTCTCTACCCTAAAATACAAAAAACCAGCTGGCCGAGGTGGCGGGCGCCTGTAAGTCCAGCTACTTGGAGCTGAGGCGCGAGACGAACGGACGGCGTGAGACCCGGGGCGGACGGCTTGCCACAGTGACCCGAGATCCGG